CAGTTACTCAACAGAAACACAACAAACACTTGGAAAGTTGCTATGTCAACATACATAGACAATACCATTATTCCAGCTCTATGGAAATGATTTGATTTTCCTGGTCTGTAACCTCTTCCACAGACAGTACTAAGGAGGTTATCCCTAGACATGTGTGCATACATGTGTGGGGAAACACTGCATACACAGAACAAAGCAGCAGATTCAGCGTATTCAAATAGGAGGAAGTGTTGTCGGTCTAATTAGAAAAGCCATGATTAGACAGCCATGTAATACAGGACAATGTTACTAAATCCTAAACATGTAGCACTGGTTAGGTGGAAGAGCACACACCTACAGCATTTGTCTTCCAAAACAACAAGTCTCCACCATGGCAAGTCAAACTGCAGTATCACCCAACAGGATACAACAGTTAATGAAGTAACAGAAGCCACGGGCAGGACCTCCTAGAAAACAATCCTGCATTAGATAAAGCATGAGAGAGACACTCTCTCCTTACAGCTGCCATACAAAGCACACACTTGAGTTTACCATCTGGGGCAGGTTGGCATTTACAGTAAGGACCAACAAGGACTCTATAATCCAAATAGTTCTTTCTTATCAGCCCTTAAAGTTGTCAGGCCAGAGAGTCAACTATAGCTCAGTGGTGCAGAGTTGTTCAGTTGATTTTGGAGGTACGGGGTTTTTTTCAGGGGAGGTGTCATAGTTGTGGAGTGACAGCACAGTTTGTATAATGCAGGGTTTGCATAGATAATTTGTCCCCTTCCCAGCCCAAAGAACGTTAAGAGGAAGAAGTCACAGTTTAGGATTCTGTTGCATTTGTGAACAACACGAAATCAGGAAAAAAAGCCAACACATTTACAGAGGCTTCCCATACCTTCCAGCACAGGAGGAAGAAGGGAGCAAGAGAAATATAAAACACAAGTCATGGCTATTTCACAAAGCTTCATTGTCTTAATGAAGTTTATTACAGGCCCCAGTTGAGAAGGTATTAAAAATTCACCAATGCATACACTTCTGCACCTTTGTCCAGGTTGTTGTTGTTCTAGAGTGGTTAAGTGCCTTTTTTTTTTAATTAAAAAAAAGTTTGTTTGTTTTTTTTTACATTATTGCTGTTTTGACAACAAAATTAAAAACCATTTTTGGACTCCATCCAGCAACAAAAAGTCAGTTTCCCCAGAACAAGCCAAAAGGGTAAAAGCAGGTTCTGAAGGGGCCTTTTCTCTACCAGCTATTTAATGAGCAAGAAAAAAAAAATTCTAATCACTTCTGTTCCTAGTGTAGATGAATTTACTCCATTTTCCAGAAGGCAAATCTTTTCAATAAATATCGGAATAACTTCCAAGACGCTGCAGTTCCAGAGACACAACAAGCAGCTCTGTGTGATTTCTCCTGGAGTCCCATGCTGCCCCTTGTTTCAGTCCAGTGAGATGATGTCAGGAGCGCTGCCTCCACTGCTGGTTATAACTCCAGTCTCGCTCCTGCTCGAGGAGCTAACGTGAGTGCTGCTCTCGTGGTGACTGGTTGATGTGATGATGCTGCCAGGCGTGCTGCTTGTTAAGGTTGAGGTGAGACTATCCAAAAACATAGGAGGACAGTACTGCTTGAAACAAACAATGAAGAATGAAGAGACTAACTGCACAAGGGAAATGTATGCTCTGAAGATACATCTTCCCTACAACAAGCACAAAACAAGTTACTGGCAGAATCTCATTAAAACATGCATGGTGAGAACCAGAGTTCTGCAAACCAGCAAGTAAGCAAGCAGAGATGGTAGTCACAACCCTTCTTCCTATCTTCCCCTTTTTCTCGTTAAGTGGTTAGCTTGAGAATTTAATGGCACATAAGGAAACGCTATCACAGCCACAAAGTGATCACCATTAAAAGCATCTGTGCACTGTTCACACTCCTCATTGCAGGACCTAATTATATAATTCAGGCTCCTTTCATCCTGAAAGGTAATACAATACTCTTTGCTAGTTCAGAGATCAGGATAACTTCATCCTCTGAAATCGCAGCAGCTGTACTAGTCACCACTTTCACAGCATGCATCGTTGCCAGCAATGAGGCATGCAGGTCTGTAAACATTTTTACCAGTACAAACAAGCTGCAAGTCCAATTAAAAAAAATTTTTTTTTTAAATTTCCAAAACAGAAGACAAGCCTTCTCAAAGTAAAGCTGAACACAACGAGTATTTAGAAACACAAAGGTTGCCAAGCGTCACAGAAGAGGAGAATCTTAATAGTTAAGATTCCCCCTACATTCAGTAAGAAAAATTAAGATTTATTGAACTCTGTAGACTCTAATCTTAGAATATTCTATGTTTGGAATCATATGTTTGGAACTGAGCCTGAATTGTTTGAACTGTCCAAGATGGACACTTTGTAGCACCATACTTTCTTCTGAAGTCTCCGTATGAACAGACTTTTGGTATTCCCACTTGGATAGCTGAGATCTCAAGGTCAGGCACAACATATTGCAAGATACAGTAAGTGGAAAGAAAAAGTTCCTCCTTTAAGGTACCAGGACATCAGCTCTACAGTAAAGTCCCATTACCGTTTGCTAGTGACAGACCCAGAGAGGAAGCAGAAGGGTTGGCTTCGGATCCTACTGTCTTGGTCATGGAGCCAATATCCCCCCTTTCTGAAGGCAGTAGCGTCTCTTGTGTGAGCATCTTGTTACATTAAGAATCGTTTTTCCTAACTGTATTTAAAGCTTGTGTTTCTGGGACAGGAGATGCACCAACTACTATTGACTTAGGAAATTTCCATATAATCCAGAGCCTGGCCTGCAGATACACAATATAAACTAAGAGCACAAAAATCACGATGGTTGTATCCAAGTCAGTGTTACGCAAACATTTGCTTCAGTAAGGCAAACCATCAAAGATTTTCTTGTGCCTGGATTTATTATAGTGAAGATAACTGCATCTCCCCTGAACGTGTCCTTACTCTGTTACCAAAGAGTATTTGGGGCAATTATGTTTTTCTGCTCTGCGGTTAGGTCTAACCGAGCGGACTGCAAACATGATATGAATGATGACAGCATCCTGATAGTTACTTAAGATAGTATGTTGTGGAAAAAAAAAAAAAGATTTTAAAAATTAAGCCCCATTGCAGTTCAGAAACATACCTGTGAATCAACTGGGATTAGTGAAAGAAAATCCAGACCTAGAAAGAAAAGAAGGATAATAAATTGATGCGTCTTTCATCTGTTCATTTAGTGGTGATACAATTTTAAGGAACTCTGTTGTTGTAGAATAGATTTTGCATTTGTTACACCGTTTCTAAATGAAGTATACCACTGTCACACCACTCTCAAGGATTACTTCAGTCAGCAGCGAAAGAGTTATCTAGTACAAGTGGCTCTTTTTAAGAATGAAAATGACATAATGATGTATTATTCACTGGATATTGCAGGGTGGTTCAATGTGGTTGCTTAGATGGAGGTTGCCAGTTGGAGCTGTTGGTTCATAGTGCAAGTTTCACTGCATATTGTACCTGACTTGGCCAAACTGGGACATGAAGAGTGTCATCACATTAAAGATGCTGGAATGAAGTAAAGTCACAACATGCACAAGTCCAAAAACAAGCAGCAGGTCTCTTCCTCCACCCATGGGCAGCCAATAAGGAAACATTTCTAATATCATCCCCGTTTTGTGTCTAGACAAATAAAAGGAATGAAGAAGAGGAAACTGCAAGTAGTTCAAGGTATATCCTCCAAGAGCAGTGAAAGCTAGCGTCCATCTTATACGCCATTAACGTGTACGCATTTAGGGCATGATGTTTAAAAGTATGAAAACAATGAGAAATCACAGTCTCTGCTTTGTTTCTAAACGTTGGCCTTGTGTTTGTGACATCAACAAAAAAATGGTAAACCTAACTCCCTCCCTCTCCCCTCGCTGTCAAATCTGTTCTGGACAGCAGTATCTCTCCTCCATAAGAGGAGATTTTTATCAGAGATTTAAGCTCAACTGCTTTTACAGAATTTACAGCTCCTTGCGTTTTAAAACGTTCTGGAACTTCAGCTGATAGAGAGGAACAAAATAGTTCTAGACTTCAGTTCCCTCAGCTTACTCTCCCGTCCAATTTAGGAAGCCACCGGGTTTCTTGACAAGGGAGAAGTGGAGGGAGGGAGCAGAAAGGGAACTAAAGAGGGCGGAGAAACAAAGGGCACGATACCCATCTCATAGCCAAACCAATGCTGAAAGATGAAGGAAGAAGCCAGAGATGTTGTTGAGGAGAAATGGAAACAGGCAATGGAACAGGGCAAGGGAACTGCACAAGGTCCAGTTTGATGCCTGTTGTCAAGTCACCATTTCCTAGGCTCTGGGCTCATTAAAGCTGGTGGAAAACCCCAGAGTCCCTATCTACAATGTTCTTTTGAAGGAGCCAGGATAGAAAATAATCAGTATCCCCACCTTTTGTCTGATATTTAGCAGCAGTGTTGAAGAATACATCATAGGCATTTAGGGTATGTCTAGGTAAAGAAAGTCAATAGGAGGTCAGCTTACATATTGTAGCTCACCTTAAGCTTTTTCATACAGTCTAGACAGAGACCACCACTAGAATCAGCTAGCAGAATTTTTCTACAGAGTCTGGATGAGTTAGTGCCAGTTCTGTAACTTAAATAAGCGGCTACTCTCCCTTACATTTATGACACACAACAACCAGATGTCTGTATAAAGTCTAACTGAATAAAAAAGTAACCACACACGCACACACACACACACACACCACCACCACCACACACGTTTCTGGCTGCCATACGAAAATGCCAATTTGAGGGTATGGCCTAGAAGCAATGTTTTTGACACCAGAGTTTTGAAGAGCAATCTGAGACTGGAAAGATAGTCAGATAACCTGCCTTTCCTAGACTTGTCTAGGCATTGTCTTAGTCCAGTACTTCATATAAGTCTTGTTCCATTAAGAGAGTTAGTCAATTCTCCAATTTCTGCCCACCCCACAAATTAATAAGGCAGAATAGAAATAGCCAGAAAAATAGCTACCACCTACCTGGCAGGTCCGATGAAATACTGGATATTGGTGGATGATGGAATGGTACTGGGTAGTCTGTTAATGAAGGAGGAATAGCAGCAGCATCAACTGTTGTCACACTGGGCACTCTTACAGTAGACGGCTGATACATGAGAACCCTGTTTTAAACAGCATGGGAAATTACAAACAACCTGGCCGTTAGTTACAGAAGAGAAAGTATGCACCACTGTGCACGCTCATTCACAAGGTCACTATGTTAACACCACAACTATAGTGTGGCTACTCACTACACAGTACTCCACTCTAATTTCCTCTTTGATAACAGTCTTCCTTATAACATGACCGTATCTTGGCTCTCAACAGCAGCTGTGACATAAGAGCAAGTTGGCATTAAAACAAAGTACAGTGCTGGAGTCATTTATAACAGTCTACTATCCAGGAACAGAAGTGGACATTTGTATTTGTAGAGTACCCTGGGAGGGATGGGCTGACAGCCAGAGCCAGGAGGAGGGCACTTCTTTAAAGTTCTCCACACATAACTGTTCCTCAGTGCTAACCTGTCACGCCAAGGATGCGACTGACCATTACTCAGCTCCTGGAGCACAGATTACCAACACAGAGTTAGATATCAAACCCTTAGAGCCTGAACCCAAGCTGAAGTTCAGCTCTCTAGCAGCACACCACCAGTATCCCCACCTTTTGTCTGATATTTAGCTGCACTGTTGAAAGATGCATCACAGGCGTTTAGGCACCCAGCCATCTACATAAATCTTTCATCAGCTCCCAGTTCAGGTGGAAATACCAAAGAGTCCCCGCTCCCAGCTGTTCAGTGTCCCTCCTTTCAGCCCACCAGCAGCAAGTTCTATCCATTCATGCCTTCCTTCCCAGATATCTGCATTGATGCATTTGGCTGCTACTGATTTCAGAAGCCACCTTTCGGACCCTCCCGTCTCAAGCACCTCAGCTTATGTTGCTCCTGCCTAAGGAAGGCCACCCCACAATTTTGTAAAGACTAGTATTCAGGCAACACTGTCACCAAAAAGCCTGTCTTAGGCTCACATTTGGAAAGTGGCATGTTTTCATTCTCAAACAGTAAGAAAAAAATACATTGATATCAGATATACAAGAAAACTCAGCCCTTCTGCAATTATAGTTGCACATAGCCATCTCACACAAACACAGGAGCAGTATTATGGAAGGGAGTCTTGGTGCCTTCTGAAACTTCATTAACAGATGTGGTATTTGTAGCTATTTTTTCCTTATAAAAATAAAGAGTCTCTTGCAGAAGGACTCCTCCACAGTCCTCACAACAAGAAACAGCATGTCAAGCATCACTGCTGAAAATTGTTGAAGACCACCAACTATTTGCTCGCCAAAGACCACATATTCCTGTGGACTAGAGACGCAGCGCACCTGCTCACCACTTCAAGAGGTGGCAAAACAGAAGGATTTATTATTATTTTAATAAAAAAAAAAAAAGGACACAAGCCGCTATGCTGAGAGACGCACACACATCTCACACATGCAAGTGGGACTAACCCGTCAGCCATTACTAAACACTGACACTTGTGGATCAGTGACTGCTGGTGAGCCTAACAAGTGCCCCTCTCTCCCTGCTGCGTTGGTTGTGCGCCCTGCCGGTCTCTCACACCCTATGGGCTAACAGCAACAACTTCAGGGGAAGCCACAAGCAGCGACTGCAGCTGAGTTGCACAGATTCGGGACAGGAGAAGGCACAACAGTAAAGAAGCTAGTCAGCCCTAGACGAGTCAGACACGACTATGAGGTTGTTCGCAGAGGGGTTGGGAGGTGGTTCGTTATGCTAACCAAAGGTTATCGTATCATATCAGAACTGACTGATAACCAAGACGCTCCAAAGTTTACAGGGAGGAGATGGAAAACTTGCATCTTGATTCACAGAATCACAGAATGAATGGCCAAGGTCGGAAAGGACCTCTGGAGATCATTCAACACACCAGCGTGCCTCCCTTCCAAGACTGACAGGATAGAGGAAACATGCACACAGCCTAGTTTCCTGGCAGCCAGAGCAGATAACAAAGGGTATTAGAGACAGCGAAAAAGCCGTTAAGACAACACCAACGTAACAAGAACGCATAAGGCTTCTGCACTAGGGACAATCAGCTTTCTCAGGAGAATACTGTCCATTAGTTTCATCCGTTTCCTTTTCTAGGGAAAACATCCCTGCAAACACAGCAACAGTCAGCGCAAGCCTTTTGTGAGATGTAAAACTATTTAATAATGTTTTGCCTGTACAAAGGTACTGTATCAATACAACCTTCTGCAAGCAGAGGCCTAAAAATACTCCTCTGGCAAGGTGGAGCTGGATCCCGAAGAGAGATTACAAGTCCATTGGTGTACACATCAGTTTATCTGAGACATTACAGAATAACAACTAACTTTAAAATTGACAAACCCTTTGGTTGGGCTTCCTTGCGTTTCAGACATAAATATGCACTTCCTTTTGGCAGGAGGATCTTCCTCTTCATCAGAGGAGCTTTCTATTGTCAAGTCAATAACATCAACTTTCTTCTTGTTCACCTCATTGGCCACTGTCACAGCACATGGTTTGCTAACAACACTGGAACCTAAACAAGAAGTAAAACATCACTGATTTTTAAAGGCTGTTGACAGCAGCAGTTTCAATTCACAACAGAACCAGCATCTCAAATCCTATCTTGGCCAGTCTTCCTGGCCGCTATAGAGGATGTCAGGGTCCAGGAGCAGTTTTATTAGCAGCATTGTGTCACACTGAGAGCAATAAGCACAAGCTTTAATCTTCAATTACCAATTTAAGGTAAGCTCTGAAGCTTTCATTTTCTGAAGCGTTATAAAAAACCCCAAAGACAAACCCCAGGCATGCACACCTCTAGACAAACCATCCCTTCTTTTAGCTTAAAGGATAAGGTGAAAACTGTTAAACCCTCCCCCTCTCAAAAAAAAAAAAAAAAAAACAAAACACACAACACTATCTGTGCCCGTTATCCTAGCTACAAAGTCCCCAAGACATCAAGCTTTTTTGTTGGTTTCTGACCAGTACCCAGATGCACATACTTTCTATTTTGGTGCACTGTGGACTAGAGACTTTCACAGCTTCTTTCTTAGGCCTCATAGGACACCAGGAACCATCCTCTTGGAATTTAATCTCGTCCACATCTGAACATTCATTTAGGATTTCCATAAAGAGCCTGAAAAAGTTAAAGTTAGGTTGCTTTGATTTTGATTCCAGTCTTTTGCTAAGTGAAAAACAAACAGCTGAAAAGCTAATTATGAGGAACTTTGAACCATAGCATGTACTCTCCCCCTAGTTCACCTTACCTAAAGGACTGCAATTACAGCCTTTGCGGAAGTCCATAGGCAGAAATGTAAAGAGGACCACAGTCTACCCATATTCAGCTCAAGCATTATTACAATTCATAGACTTCTGTACAGAAGTAGAAATCATCAGTTTTTAAACCAAGTTTGACATGGTTTGTAAGTTAAAACTCAAGTCCAAAAGCTTCACAGTGATTGGTTTGTGTAAAAGGGAGACTATCTCATCCCCGGATGTCATGTTTAGATTCCTCCCAAGGAAACAGGCTGTAGCTCAAAAGCTTAATGATGCAATCAGGAGATGAGTTTACCTCCTTTATTATTACATAGGAATAGAAACTAAAAGGATTCTAATGGTTCCTTCCAGCCTAACATATTTTGATAAAGAAAATAGTTGGAAATGGCTAAATCTTAAGTCTCAAAAAGTAACTATCAAGTTCATTGTGAAAAACTTCACAAAAGTGAGTTCTGTACTCTGCAGACCCTGTTTCTTACCCATCTAATATTAGGCTCTCGTAAGCTGCCTTTTTGTCACAGACAGGACAAATCCAGGTAGGCTTCTTTTCATTCATTTGAAGATAAAGAGCAGCATCAAAACATTGCAGGTGTGTGCAAGTAACAGCCCGGCATGGGATTGTCAGTCTCATTTTCCCCAGCTGCAGAAGATGCATTAAGAGAGTGTCAACAGCGGAAAGCTAAGCAGGTCTTGATGGCTGAGAGTGAAGCCAGATGCAGTCGGTGAGGTAGCAGTCTCTTCTCACTACAGAGGTGCTCAATGTACACCTCTTTACATGCCAACCCACCCTATCAAAGTACATACTGTGTACTCTGAGGAACAATAAAGCAGCCTCAAAGTTTTTACTAAGGAGCTGAGACCCAGCAGAAACGTTTCAAAGCAGACTGCAACAATCTGCACTGAGTGGTCTTGTATCAACATTATTTTGAGGACTTCATTTTTGCTACTAAGCTACTGCAGCACCCAATTTATCCTGTCCTTTCAGCCAAATAGTTCAAATTTTTTTGTGAGCTCCAATTAATTTTCGACTCAGACTGGCATTATAACTATTTTAAACACATGACTTTAACAGACCAGTCACAGACACAAGACCAGTTTCTTCCTGGGAAGAGAAAGCAAGGCAAGGTTACCAGGTGATCAGTTTGTTTTTCTTTACAGTAGCTGGCAGCATAAGAGACCTGAATTTTATTTCTCATTGTGCCCTTCAATTATTCCATCACCCTGTCCAAATAGTCTCAAGGCCTCAGTGCTGCCCGACTACTCCTTTTAAAAGTCTCAGTACACATAAAAATAGCAACTTGATTCTGACTGTGTTAAAGCAGAGGCATTCATAGTTCCAAATCACAGTTGGCTGAATGTTGTTACAGTCAGGTGCTCGTAAATGCACCCTTCTCCCCCATGTTTTATATTTAAGAAGCAGTATATAAACAAAAGCCATTGAAAAGTTGGAAAAGCAAGGCGTTTTAAAATCAGCCCAGTTCCGCACTGAAGATGAAAATATAGATCTGTATATAGTAATTTCCAGCCTTACTTACAGGACACATCAGAGATACTCGCAGACTGGTTGTGGCAATCTCACTATCAGGATCTGCAGTTAGTTTTTCTTTAACTATTAAAATAAATAAGAAATTACACACAGACATCTCCATTATATTTAAAATGCTATTTTTGATTCTCCAGCATACGAACTTTGTTTCCAGCTACCTAAAAAACTAGGCATCCAGGAAACTAGTTTATAGCAAGTACTACATTAACAGTAGTTTCACTATTTAAAGGCAACCATCAAACACGGCACATAGTGAGACTGTTTTGATGCGTGGCAGGTGCACTAAGAGCCACAACTGTTAGTAAACTTGACCCAACACACAAGGAGATAAATAAAGGAGTAGTTATCAGCAAGTAAGGCACAAAGACAGGAATAGCAGCGTCACATGCAAGTGAAGAAAATATGGATATTTAGGACATCTTTTTGCACCTTACAGCCCTCCACAGCAAACGGCCTTCCCTGCATTCCTGTAAGGACACCTGAGATGTCGTCTCCAAGTGTGCCTCCCTACTAGCACAGGGACCTACAGTGAATCAGCGCATAACAGCTCAGCAACAGCAAGGAAACCTTTGATCTACTCTGGCCATGGGCTTTCCCCCCCCCCACCATCCCCATCCCCAAACTGCTGCAAGTCTGCTGAGTGTTACCAGTTCTAAAGAGCTACAACGGCCCTGAAGAACTACAAACAGGAAAATTGATTCGACTTACTTAGTGCTCTGGAATGATCAGGGTTTCTGATACCTTTCATTTTTAACCTCTGCAAAAGCATAGCTGAAGTAAGCTGACGAACGAGATACACAGACATGGAGTAGTTCTACAAAAAAAGCGATTAAAAATGAAAAATTAACACAGCACTTCCACTACAACAATAAATCACTATTTACACTAGTTGTAGCATATAGTAAAAACATAACTGTGCCAGTTTTTTGCTTGATAGCTATACTTTGAAAAGCATTAACAGGTGACTTCATCACTGTGAAAGAATCCAATACTCTTACCATAATTTTTCTGCTAATCCAGTCCAACTGGATTGTCCTACTCCAGCTGTGACTTAACTAAAAAGTCTCGTCCTCCAGAATCAAGAGACAAATTTGGTCTTTTCTTGAAAAGACGACTTGGAGACTCACCTTCTTACGCACGTGGCCTTTAAGAACTTCTCATATTTTTCTCTTAAACCCTTCCTTTTTGTCAGTATCATTCTGGCATTGGGAGCTCAAAGATAACCACGCGTTGTAAAGAAAAGACGAATGCTTCTTCCGGTGCAAGCACAACACCTTCAAGAGGCACAAACCTGCACCAATTTCTTTCTGCTGCTCTTTTTTTTCCCCCTGTAGCTTGCTCTCCACTTTTAAGCCAAGCCTAGTTACACCCTATCCTCTCCTCTCAGGCTGGCTGTATGCCCTCGTGTTTATTACTACTCCCCAATTCATGCCACTTGCCAGCTTCCTTTGTGCAAGGGCAACGCTCTTTTCAAGGTCGCTAATGAAGAGAAGCCTCTGCCAGTCCCACTACTGTAGAACAACAATGGTTTCATCATTTTAACAAACACAACCTGCGATCGCTTATTTCCGTCCCCTGCCAGCCATCTTTTTATGGCTCCTATAACATCTGGGTACCACCCAAGAATTTTAAGCACACAAACAGCTACCACCATGCTCCTGCTTAGCCGATGTAAAAAAAAATAAAATAGCTCTTACCTAGATCAGCAGCTATAGTGACTAACTTACATGTGAAACCACTCTGTAGAAAAAAAAGGGGTTTTGTTTGTTTGTTTCTAAAAGAAGGGCCATATATTGCACTATTTATTGCCTACAGAATGAAATCCAGAATCAAGCCTGACCAGGCTGGATTTATGCCTCCTTTGCTCAGAAGCCCTGCTGCATCAGTCAAACGTCACCACCAGCACAATCCCAACCTCCCACAACAGCCATAAGTGACCTCTCAGACAAGCAGGACCACTACCACAACAGCCTGAACCGATCACCAAGCACAAGATCAATTGCTGAACGCTCAGCTGTATCAAAGCACTCAAGCACCAAGCATTTTATAGACGCAACTAGGAACCAGTCAAATGCATGCCAATAACCCCTCGCCATGTGAGCCTGCGGACGCTCCACACTATCCCTGCTTAATGACTTCATTTAAATGAGGAGCGAAGGCTTGCTACATGTGCTGTGTTACTCAGAACAGAGCACTAACCTTGAACCAACAAACTTGCTTCTCAAGTCAAGGGGAAATGATGGGACAACCTCCAACTCATTTGCTTGCATGGGAATGTATTTTGGCAAATGCAGGGGAGCGAGAGCACGTGGGGACAGAAGGAAAAGGCCAAGACCACACATGCCTTCTGTGGCCGCTTCGAGGCTCTCATGCCTTATGATTGGGAAGCAATCACTTAGATCTTTTTCACTCCCTCGCTCTGTTTTAGGGAAGCTTTGCTGTCAGCACTGCCCTTCATTCCCTTTTTGAACGTTTACCTTCTCCCCGATTTTTTTAAAGCTTCAGTTTGTTCATATATATAGTAATAAGTTCACGCTGCAGTCTCACTTTGAGGCATATGCCCAATTCATATTGCTCTCCTTTCACTTTTTTTAAAGATCAAAAGCTCTTTCGATAATTGAGTCCAGAAGGACCTACAAAAGTAGCCACAGACTGAAGAATACGTAATTCATTATTTAGCAATAGCTGCAAGGGACTACTACTAAACCTAAGAATTAAAAAGACTCCTCTCACTGCCTTCTCCTGATTATGGGGGAGGAGCGTCTAAGCAGTCACTTAGCCATTTTAAAGACTAATTCCTTTTAAAGTCCGATTTAACAATTTTACATTTCTAAAATTAGCTCAGCTACAGGCCCCAGAAAGCAAGAGGTATCACATTTCAGTCACCATCCCCTTCTCTGCCACCTGAACTCTAGCACGCATTTCCCTCACTACAGCTTTCTGTGAGGTCTAGAATTGCATTATTAACAGGATTTGATTTTCTGTTTTCCTCAGCTCTCCATTTCCCCCCCACCCATCTGCACTTCAGAAGCCAGCTCTCCCCTTCAAGTCACCCAACACCTTACAAGAATATGCTCAAGTTGTAATAAAGGATACGCTGGCTCAGGTATCCTATATTACAAACAGAGGCCCAAGTATAATCCAGTCAAGCACGTCCAAGACCCATGAAGCCCAGGAAGAGCCAACACTAGCAGCCTGACACCTGCCCAGTAAATCCTCCCCCCCATCCTGCCATTTAAGAGCTTTCTGAGCTGTGTTTTGGTTCATTTACAAGCGTGGTTTTAATCAACCCGAGCCATCTTCATTGGCGGGAGAGAGGAGGAATTTCCAAAGAATAAAGATGAAAATATCTAATAACCAGTTCTTCTTATGAAGCTACATTTCGGTTTGTAAAATTACTATTATTTGATTAGAAAATAGAAAAACTCAGAAATACATTTCTACACCCATACTCCCACAGCCTTGGCACATCTGGTCCTTTTAAAAAGCCTGCTCCGACAGATGATGAGAAACATGCCTTTCAAGAAATGGCTACATAACCTTATTTTCATATTACTATACCGTTAGGCTACAAAAAAGCTTCCCTTTTTGTTATTTTGTTTGGCACCATTTTTTCCCCCAGAAGATTTCAGCATCTTTAACACACACAGTTTACGTTCATACATTTCAGGCAACCCCTAATGGCAGACTTACTTATAAAGCTCTCATACTTTTAAAGGTTCCCAAAAACCTATATGGAAACTCCCCTTCCATGTGAATACTGTAGGGAAGTTTCACATATGTATTGTAAACTATCACGCTTCTAGATCTTACTTCATTTCCTGGAATTTATAATATTTTCAACCATTTATTAAGGAACATTTATTGGCATATGCCTTGCCAGCAACATCAGGAAGTGGAGGGAGAAAGGGAATGCTAGGTGAGGTTATTCAGTCTACTGTCCACATTCACAGAATACACAATTTACCTTTCCAATTTCAGAAGCCCAGGAAATGGAAATCTGGTTTGGCACTGCAGAGGACAACCTAACTAGAGATGTTATATTCAAGGGGCGCCCAGGCCGCTTCTGCTCAATTCCATTTTTTGGCGGTGGAGCATATCCCTATGGGAAGAAAGGACAGTGAAAGCGTTACTAACCCTCCCCGCTGTACTCTGAAACCTGCTGAAACAGACTTGCTCCCTTTAGGCAGAGCTATGGAAAACAGGTAAGCCTGGGGCTTCTCTAGACTGGATATTGAAGTCAATGCTTACTGCTATCAGTCTTTGACAGTCCAATATCATAAACAAACCACAATTTCACAGCGCTTTTGTTTTAAAGTGATTTTAGGGAAGTGCTCAAACGATGAAAAAGAACACAATTCTGGTCCAGTTAAGTTTACTGTCAGAGTAAAAAGCAATGTTGATGCTTTGTCCTTCTTCTGCCATCTCCACCCCCTCTCCCCCCCGCAACTCCTCAGAGATCAGAGCCCCACGAGGACAACCTCTGTGATCGACAAACACAGCAAGTTAAGAAGGGTTGGATTCAGCAGTTCTATTTAAGAAATACAACCCAATTCCATACCAAGAGCTCCACATCTCCTCGGTGTCTCTAGATACAGTCACTATTTGAATTTCAGAGCCCGAGGGCTAACTTAAAAGACAAGACACTCCTGTAAGGATTCGGCTTTGCCTTCGCATCAACTATACACCAGCCCCATTTGCAGCAAGCTGTCATCTGTACTTTGGCCAGCTCCCTGAAGATGAGCTGCACATGGGATGTGCAGGTGTATTTAAGAGCTAATAGGCTTTTTTGCTGTTGACAGAAACAAAATAAACTGGGTATTATTTGCGCAGCTTTTTCTAGGCTTTGGTGAAGAATTTCACACTCGGGACAGGTTCTCTGTAGTTGTATTTCCTCTATATGTTTACAACCTGAGTCAGAAGCCATCCAGTTCCCTTCTGCTTCTAGGCAGGCACACACCCTCAAGCATATCACAAGCAAAGCACTTGTGCAGTATAAGACGCATCTGGCCTAACTGCAACTCATTCATCTTGTCCTGTGTCTGTCATTATGAAAACAAGCCAGTCTAACAGGAACGCCAAGACAAACTCTGTTCCGAGTTCAAGCAGATAAAGTCTGGAGACCCCTCTTCCAGCTTGCCTAATCAAGGAGATGGATGATGAAGAGGAAGAGCCACTGTCAAACTTTTTGCCTTCAAAGCAGACAGATTTTTACCGCTTTAACTGCAACATGCGGTTCTTTTTCCCTATGCCTCTTATCAACAGACAATAGAATAAGTTCTTTGCATTTGACTCAAAAATCATCGTTCTCTTGTCTCACAAAAATCTTATCTTTTATCAGGATACCAAAAAGAGATTAGAGCCTTATGTCTTATGCAAAAGCACTACAGACTGCTGGATTTTGTTTAGTTCAAGACAGCACTGTTCTGACAGAAACCCCCCCAGAAAGGGTATGTTGAAAAACAGGTATACATGTGTAATATTGTTTTACCCAGAGAATACAAACCACACGTTCATAACCTAACACTCTGAAAAGAGTTACTAACAAGAAGTCAGGTCAGAAAATAAAAATCAGATATGACAGAGACAATTGCTGATACGCTATTTCATCAGCAGCTCTCCCACAGGGCACATAAGATGTGTTCCCATGTCCATCTAATGATACATAGCAAAAACAATTCAGAAAACTATTGTTCCAGTCAAGCAGATGTGTGATCTTTGACTTCTCTGGGAAATCTGATCAGGAACTTCTTGCAGACTGCTTCTCTTCAAAGGGCCCAGTCCAGAATAGGTCCCCCAAGCCACCTTTTCCAATAGCAGATCAGGCATCCCAGCATGAAACCGATTTTGTCTTGCAGTTTAATATTTTGATGTTTCAACAGATTTCAAAGATCAGGAATGTTGATAACCTTGAGGTTTCATTGAACTGTTAGCTCTGGGAAGGAGACTTAGGAATATTTTCATATAGCACCAGGTCACTACTACTGAAGTTTCCTGCCACTTCCCTCTTTTGAGGTACTCGCCTTCAGAGCCGGCATGGAAGGAGCATTGGCTCAAAAGATACAGGTTTTCCTCTGGATCTTCTGTCTGGCCATATAACCATCATTCAATCCCATTCAGAATTGTTGCAGGCCTCTTCCACTCGCTAAAGAGTAACTGCTGCCTTTAATCTAGGAAGGACTCAACAGTTGCCATATCGTTTCCTTAAGTTTCCAAAGCAGCTCTATTGCTAATCCATACTTTTTCCCCCTCCTTGACAACCAATCCCTGGCTGTGCCTCACTACTGCCCTTTATTAACTTCAAGCAGGGCTACTGCTTGTGGTGACAGAGTAAGAAACCACAGCTTCTACTGCAAGATCTGCCAGGCCAAAGTGGTGGACAGCAATTGCTGAAGAACTCTGTCAAAAACAGTTGTCGCCCCAGACGACAAGCAACATAGCTACTCTCAGGAATCTTTCCATACGCGCTTTATCACAGAACACGGAGGCAGCAGATGCACAAGGACTGCTGACAATCTCACATTTGAAAGAATGAATGACTCGCCGTTTCTTTAATCAGATATGACAGCTGCAGCAATTTACAGAATATAAATCTCAATCATTTCTGGTGCAGTGGGCTGGGCCTCCCTCTATCACGGTTCCTTTTAACAAGCTTATCTGGAGGAACACAGCATCTCTGCAATATTCAGGAGAATATTTTCATGCAAACTAGACCAACCACAGCACGAGGCTCCTTACTGTTTGTCTCCAGACTAAGATGAGGCTACTTTGCTCCCAGGAGAGGGATGATGCAAGTTCCTTTACACTTTTTTTTTTTTTTTTTAAATAGACTTTGCAACTCACATGCTTTATTTCTGTCAAGCTTTTGAAGTTTTCTTCCACAAAGCAATCACCTTGCGGTCAGATCCAATTTCTTATTCCTAGAACACATTAAAGCCTTCCCCTCCTGGCCACCTGGAGGCCTATTTGCCTATCACAGGCAGCACAGTCTAGCAGTGTTTAGTTAGCCTGCCTATTCTAGTGGTTAAGCATATGCCAAAGTCATTTGGGTCTTCAAGTCTTCCATGCTTCTTGCAAGAACTGCGTTAGTCAAAGCTGGTACAATCTGTTGTAGCCAGAAAGGTATCAAAAGAAAGTCCAACTGCTCTTCTAAGTGGCCATTATCAGCCTGCCTGGGCAGATTTGGGTCTCTTTCAAAGAGGAAAGCCCACAGTGGTCCACGGAGGCTCCCCGTGAAGAAAAACAAGAAAGCTTTTTTGACTTCTGGTTTGTTTTGCCTGCATTTGCCACAGGGGAACCAGCTGCTGTAACAAAACCTCTGTTACTGGCCAAGACACCAGCATACAAGGCTCTACATGTCTTTCTTTTAAGAAGTACTATAAGAGATGGAAAGAGAGATAGCTGTTGAAGTACAAGGAAACACCACGGTAACACACGTTGGCACAACCCGCAGCACTTTTTGCACACTGGCAGCACTACCCTGAAGTTTCTGTTTAGCGCTACAGCTAAGGAGGTAGCTTTGAGAACAACAGGATAATTCACGGACCTCTGCAGAGGCATTGACTGCTGTACCAGGGAAAGCCAGAACAGTGCTTATTTATTGATTTTTCAAGTTGGCAATAGAAACTGGCATCACTGATCAACTGCAGGTCTCGCTACTGAGTTAGAAAACAGTGGGCAAAAAAAGGTTATCTTACATTTCCTGCAAAAGAAGAGGAGCCACCAGAGGGATGCAGACTGTGACCAAACCAACAGGCTAGAGGAAAGAGAAAAAAAACGTTTGCAGTAGCACTCAGGCTGAAGCTATATTTGTCATTCAGCTCATACTCAAGGAGAGGAGGTTTCCAAGACAAGAATCATTTATTCACTTCCTCTCTGGAATCTTCTGCTGAAGAGATTAAAGAATCATCCTTAGCAATATGTAGAAAGACTGTATAGGGTTCAGATCTAAAAGCAAAGCAAGAATCCGAGTTTACAGCCAAGTTACGTTGAGACTGACACGTTAAACACAGAGGACACCATAGCCTGGCAGAATATAAGCTATTTTAGCAAGACAGAACCAGCAAGCATTGAGAACTACACGATAACATCGGACCCCATTCTTTGCAATGGGATGCTTAAAGAGAGGAGGAGGTAACCTGCTGAAGATAGGAAATCCTGCTAGGTTATCACAGAGAACCTAATTTATGTTTGTAGAAAGTAATGACCAGAGAGCATAAGAAAGAAGAAAAGGAGACCCTCTTACACGCTGAAGAGGGATGGAAGATAGCAATAAAAGGGTTAAAGAAGTAGGGGGAAAAGTTAGGGATAGTCATTTAAGGAAAGCAGAAACAAGAAAACAGTCATAGTGGTGCAGAAAGAAAAAAAAAAACCGCAATCCCCCACACAGTTGACAGAGTGAGGAGAAGGCAAACATTCTGATAACAAGGTTTCCCACCTCCTCTCCCCATTCGGTGTTTTCCAGCAATACTGGTGTTAACACTCTGTACTTCCTTCTACCTTCTTCCATCTTCTACAACTTTCAGAACTATTTCAGAATAGGCTGCAGAAGACTTTATCCCTCTACAGAACAGGGACAGCCGTTTCAGAGAGTTCTTTAAACTAAATGAGCACTCTTTTTCCTCTTCATCTAATTCAGACCTTAGGGTGACTCTGCCCAAATACCAACTTCTACAACAGGCACCAGCAGAGTAAGTGGATGAGACACTTCCATCCTGCAGTTTCTTATAGCTGCTAACAGTGTTCAGCTCCAGCATCAGCAATTGCTGGGAACCCTAAAGTCTTTCCCCTCTTCATCCCCACTATGAGTATTTCTCTAACTAGACAGATACAGGACAGCCTACAAACACATACACAAGAAGAGGATACTGTTGCCTCATAACAAGGGGGGGGGGGGGGGGGAACGCAAACCAGTACATGACCACAGAGAGCCCAAACAGCCAGGGCAACTGCCAATCACATCACATCAACTCAGTTTGAAGATCTATGAGGAGAATCCCCCATGCAGACACTGGTTTCTTTTGACATTGTTCTGTCCTAACTGCAACGGATCAGGTTTGCTGCAAGTGGCTGAAATACAATTAAGCCATGCAGTGACTGTAACATGATTAATATTAGTAATGGGAAACTCGCACGGCAAATGCACAAATCGTAAGCCTAACAGCAACAACTAGAGGAAATAGCAATAAAAATAAAGAGCTTGACAATTTAAGCAAGCAAACACTACATGGAAAAAAATGATAAATAGCCACCAAGTGCAAACAAACAAGCTTACCGGCAATGGAAACAGCTTCCCATTTACTTTAATACACAAACTATTAGGGTAATTATCTTCTTGAGGGCAGCTTGTCTCTGCTAGGCATAACCTACATCCCCAAAAAGAAGAGGTGTCATTTGCAAGTGTCACTACATTCAAAGCGGTTCACATGTATGAAGACGTGGATTGCATCAGCCAATTAGGAAGTCATAAGAGAACACTGAGAAAGATACCTTAGCTGAACTTGGACTGTGTAGTCTCTCCTGCCTCCTGGCAAGAAGTCCCTGTTGCAAAGGCAAAGGAAAAGGCATGTAGATAGCAAATCTCATATTCCAATTATACACAGAAAGAACTGGCCTGCCTGCCCCAACACCACTAAACTTTGTTCTTCCTATGAAGTCTTACAGGCAATGCCTCTACTGTTTTAGCTACTGATAATTTAAGCAGAACTTTAGGGTCACCACCCTCTGCAAAGATTTAATAACAAAGCATGATGCTAACAGAGAAGAATCAAATCCTACGAATTCTTTTGGCTCACGCCATAGGTCTTATGACAATGTGGATCCTGAGACAAGAGATAACAGCAGCCTTCCTTTCACCCAGCCAGGAAACATACAGGGCAGAAAAGCTTACCACCTCTTCAGACAGCCAGTTATTTAAAACTAGGTAATTTTTAACTCCCAGTGGTGCAGGATTGCCCCCAACTGCACATAAGTTCATCTGGAACTACTCTGCACGGAAAAGTCTGTTACTCAGTATAATTTCTGTGACAATTAATCCTCCACACCTGCAGGCTTATAGGATGCATGCATATACATGTAAAAACAAACCACACCACAGCAACAACCACCACCTGTTCTCCTGAGACTTTGCAAAAATAGTTATCTACACTAGTGCTATAAATACTCTTTCCACTTACCTGGAAATACAGATTTCTCTGACCTGCTGAGGTGTTAAAGCAAAGATAAAAAACTTCTCTTGGAATCTCTGAATACTGCTCTGTACTGAAAGAGAGAGAAACAAAAGAGGTTTAATCATAGCGATTTAAGTCATTGATCAAGACAGGATTCACAACTGAGATTTCCTGGAATAAGGCACACATCATTTATGAATATAATCATTGATGAATATAGTTATATTCATCATTTATGAATATAATCAGTTGCACCGCCTGCAACTGTCAACAGGAAAGCAATGGTACAAATCCTTCAACTATATTCAGATGGCTTAATATCACATTACACTTCAGTATTAAGAAGCTTGGCAAGAAGCTGTGCTGTAATCCTCAGAGGGGGAAGGATAAGCTGAAGCTTCCCAGAATTCTCACGCAGCAGAAGAGCACACGACAAAATACAACACTGGATACCTGAGGGAGAAAAAGGCATAACAGACAAGATGTTGACAACTATTTTAAGATGCGCATTCTCCTCTTTCGGTATAAGAGGTTATTAATGGACAGATGGAAAGTTATTCAATTCAAAAACAGCTAAAGGTAAGCACGCCTTTGGGGAGGAAGGGAATGAACAACCCCCAATGCTAGAGAAGCCAGCTGCACTACATGTCTGCATGTCTGGGAATACCCTTTACTAGCATTTAAAAAAACAAAAAACCAGCTTTAATATCAGAATGCATGCATGCAAATTTGAAAGAGCTACACTGTCATGGCACACTTCTACATTCAGAGAAGAAAACAGCCTCTACCCCAAACACACACAAAAGGTCACAAACATGAAACAGAATCCAAGTGAAGCGCATGCACCGCTTCCTCAAACAATTCAAAGCCACTACACTGTGTGTTTGGATGCATGTGCAATGCAAGCAGCATTTTATATTTCAAAATAGTACTCAGGAATGTTTTTAAAAGACCATAAAAGTGTTTTCTCTTATTGAATTGGGGGAGAGAAAAATAAAGATTTTTTTTTTTTTTTTAAAAACCTCTACACCCCCTCATACGTTCTCAGATTAGCGGAAAAGACTATGAACACCAATTCTTTTTAAAGAGTCACGGAGAAGCAGAATATATTCCTAGCTCTCTGACCTGCCTGCCCATTTGTTTTCTAAATCCTTAATTCTCAATATGGAAGAGTTTTATGCATCTCAATCTTCTAACTGGAACCGTGTACAATTCATGATCTATCTAAAAATATTAAATAGAAGTAGTATCTTCTCCAAATCTGCTCCCGAATCCATGTTATGGTGATTTTCAGCTAATGTTAAAAACATTAGTGTTTTCTAACATTTTCAACATCAGCAGAGCCCAGTACTTGCATATAAAGCTACTCTTCACATCTCATTACCCCACTCTTCCTCAGACACAAACCTGAGTTGTGGCTCCAGCTGCTGCCATCTGCAGCAGCACTGCATTCTGGAAGGGGGCGTAATGCTGATTTGGGAGTCCGTAGGCAAGCAAGTACGGAGTTACTGTCCCCCTCACCCATTTTCTAAGAGAACCCAAATGGTACAGAAGCAGATGATCCTCACTCTTGTAAGAGCTGGGCAACATGCAATGAGGAGTCTATGGTTTTCAAGGGAAAAAACAGGAATTCACAAGCAGCCCTAATTGCAACTTGGTGACGCTCCCAAGGAAGCATTTTCCTTTCACAAACAGGAGAATTTCCCACAGTGGATGAAGCCAGCAGCTAAAAAAGTTCTTTAGCACATCACTGCCATCCCTAGGTTATCACTGACCAGGAAACAAAGGCTAATTACACAGCAGAAATAGCGCAGAGCGCACACGGCTTTCAGTTTTTTCAACTGAAATATTTCAATTGAAATATCAACTTTTTTCCCATTCCAAAGCAGGATTTGAACAGGACGTTGGTGCACCATCAGATTCTCTCTTCAAACGCAATGGTAGTATTAGCTACAGAGCTGTCCAATACCAAAGCAGCTTTTGTACTAATGCATGTTTTTTGATATTAAACACTTCAGTCTCAAACAAGGTGTCACAATATGTAAACAGAAGTGACAACAAGCATTACAAGTAATGATTGCTACTTTAGATGCTGGAGGACGATTATCAGTAGATGCTTTTCCTGAGGTGCAAGTCACAACCTAGAAGACGCTATTGCTTAAGAAACTAAGCTGTTTTAGAGGATGTAAAGAGCTGACAAAAAGCCAAAAGCGTTTCGATTTGGGGGGGAGGGGAGGGGGAAGAAAACACACTCACAAGTACGATATCCACACCAGGGCAAACATTTGAACAACACAACATGTGGCAAAATGGCACTCTTACACTCATGTCTGCTTTTGCTATTTAGCATTTAATACAAGACTTCCCTTGTTATCTGTAGCCCCCAGCTACACTATTCACTTTAGATCACTCTGCCATTTGATTCTATACCCTAATTCAAAGGCTGCGCATCGTCATCTGTGTGCGCACAGCTGCATGCTAGAAAACTGCAAGTAAGGTATTCCTCTACTGCAGCAGTACAGAAATTAAGCAAATGTCATGAAGATTTCAGCCTCAAAAACAATACCCAATTGAAAAGTGTATTTCTACAATCTTAAAGCAGGATCTCTTCTACAGGCCACCCAAAAAGTTGCATACAGTCTGAAACTCAGGTTCGTACTTGACTGAAGTCATAGTTACCCAGGCAGAACTCAGAGGGTTCAGGTTCCAGTATCTACTCCAGCTATTAGTGAACTGGGGAAAAAAATAAGGGGGGGGGGGAGAGCAGGAGGCAGTTATCACTTCCGTGCCAAATCATTTGTGCATAAAAACTGTTTTAGATTGACAGGGTTACTGCAAACCAGACCGTAATACAAAAGTGGATTGTACTTGCATCTTGTGGAAAAGAACCCCCCCCCCCCCCCGCCGCAGCACGCCACCCCACACACCATTACAATGGTTATGTTGAAGTCTTAACTGGAAATGCTTTTCACACTGCTGAGCAGCAAGCTGCTATTTACAATCAGGTGGTATTACTAAATCATTATGAAACATTTTCTGCTCTATAAACAGAGTAAGACAGGTTGAGTTTCAAGATAGAAAACAACCTATTTTCAAATAATTCAAATGTCTCTCCTTTGAGCATACTGAGAAAGCTAACCAAAATTTCAAGTTATTTAGAAGACACAAAGATCTACTCTACGTTTTAATCAGTGCAGTATGGAAACAACAGATAGGCTGAGAATCCATCATAGACTGTGTATAAGAAAGCTGGATGTTTGCTGTACAATCAAAGCATGTATTTGAGTGCAAGAGGCCAATACCCGCAGAAGTGTTGCGGTGAGACAGATGCAAACTATCAAACCAGGGGACTTGTTTTTCTGACACTGCGGCAACTTAATATTGAACCCAAATCCACTTATTGTTGGCCCTGACAAACGTGCTCATTGGTACCAGTCAGATACCTCAGGTCCAAATCTTCTAGACATATGTAATTTCTTTAACATTCAAAAGACAAAGAAATTCATGGTTTTCTTCAATTACATATTTGCAGAAGAGAACTCTGCTTGCTGCAGCGTGGCTTGACAATATTGGGGGGAAGGGAGGAGAACAGGGAAGCGTAGAGATGAGAAGGGAAGGAAGTTTCCACTTTTTACCATCTGCAGAAAGTATTTCATTAAGCCTGGACTTAGGTGTTGCTTAAGTCGACTAAATTAAGCAAAATGCAGAACTATTAAACACTTACCTAGGCTTGTAGGTTTGATGAGCACATCAAGCACATCATAAAAAGGTAGGCTTTTTAGTTGAACATCAGGATGAACGGGTGGAATCGGAGGGGATGGTTGCTGCATCTCAAAGTGCGGCTTAGTGTCTTGGAGGAGCACCGAACTGACAGGCGACGAGGGAGACTGAGGCGTGACCGACGTAGACGGGAGCGGGTGAATCCCGGCAACAGCCAAGTCAGGCTCTACAGGAGAGGAACTACTGTCCAAATTGAAGACTGCAGGTTTTATCGCCGATAAGTCCGAAAGTCCTTCAATTGTCCTTGGGTACCGACGCCTATAGAGTTCTCGGATTTTTATCTGAACTGCTGGGCTGCAGCCACTCTTCAGTAAGTGCAGTGCCCTCATCAGGAGGTCATGCTTCCGCCCGCTTTTGTTACGTCCAGCAAAACCCAACAACACTTGTAGTTCAGACACGCGAAAACTTGATACCATATTCTAGAAAGAAAATGGAGATAAGCAGAGGTGAACCAACAGTACACTAAATAAGCCTCTCTCAGGAGCGTAGCAAAGTATACGAATTTTCATCGTTCTAGTTTCCCATCTATCTTAGACATAGACCACTCATACCCTTACCCAGCACAACAATTTTTAAATTTAAAGTGAAAGAGTGAAGTGTCCGGGAAGAAGCTTGAGGTTGGCTGGATTATCTCAAAAAACTTCCAATTGCTTCCCCTCGCAGGCAATTAAAAAAAAAAAACACACACACACAACTCAATGAAGCCCATGCAGTGGTATCTTGAGTTCAGAGGAAGCCAGAAGCATCAACTCTTTCTGCCTCACTTGAAGGAGCACCAAATCAGATGAATGTTTGATGAGTGTTATCACCTGTCCTCCAACATGCTTTAAGAAAAAGTATTCAAGTTCGGTGTGGTTTACTCTGAAGCCTCCTTTATTTTTGGCAGCATTTTAAACACACGCATGATCACAGACAGGCATGTCAACTTTTACTCTTGAAGGAATGGCACAGCAAGATGGACATTTTAATAAAAGTTACAGCATTTCACATTAACAAACTGAACATAATTGGTTCTTCTTCAGACAATGACAGGAAACTTCCTGACTGTTCTCTTAATATCATGTTTTGGTACCTTGGGTATGATACTAAAGGATCTCTTCCAAGAAAATAACCAAGTAAACAGTACTCTTTTATCAGTTTAAAAAACAAAAAACCCTACTACAAATTAGTAACTTGACATATGCCCTTAATCTTTCATTTCTGTGAATGAGCTCTGTTTTCAGAAAGGTATAAAATTGTCTAGTATTCTGCTAAGCAGTTTCCTTTCTATCTGTGTGGGACTCTTTCC